CTGACACCACAAGCAGTATGAGTTGGTTTCCAGGCCATCACATACCTGCCACATCAGTAGCTACCAGTATGGGGATCCCCTTCTTCTTAAATTCTGAAATGACTTTATTCCTCTCACTCTGGTCCATGTCCCCATGGAGCAGCCCCAGGTTATGATCCTCCTGCTTGAGGTTATTGGCCAACTCTTCTGCATTGGCCTTCTTGGTGACGAAGAGCAGAACACTCCCAGATGAGGTGAACTCCACGAGGCGCCGGGTCAGCCAGTTCCATTTGCTGGGGCCAGAGGGGAAGATCTCCACAATCTGAGTCACATCTTCGTTTGCCTAAGGGAAGAAGTGTCCTCAGAATCAGGAGAAGGGAAGGCACAAAGAGACTCTCCAGCTTTGCATCACAAGTAATCCAAGTGCAGTGCAGCTCACAGCACTGCCTGGAAGTTCCTCTGGAGGTTTTAATTTTCAGACATTTCAATATTAATTACCTCAAGGCATCATAACACAGGAATGATTTAGACCAAGCAAGTCCAGCATCAACATTCCCACAGAAAGACATTACAGCCAAAGTTCAAATCCTTCATTGCAAAAAAACTGTAATGGCTTTATTTACACCTTAGAGACAAAATTAAAGGCTGTACCGATTGATTGATAAAAACCAAAATAAATCACTGCATTACATTGATTCAACCTAATAAAAACCAAAATAAATCACTGCATTAATGTTGTTTTACCCCCTGATGAAACCTCCCACCACTGCATGAAGATTTACTCGAAGAAAGGTCAATAAAATACAAAAAAACCCACAAAATTTGCTGGTTTTGTCCCTGATGAAACCTCCCACCATTGCATGAAGATTTACTGGAAGAAAGGTCAATAAAATACAAAAAACCCACAAAATTTGCTGGTTTTGTTAAGCACAAAGTATTGACTCTTAATTACGAATGACTACTGCAGTTCAACTTGAATTTCAGAGAGCAGAAACAGAACATCCATTGCTCTGCTCAGCCCACAAGTGCCATGGAATTACCTCTCCAATGTCTCCCTGCACCACTCGGATTGGGTCGATCAGGATATCCCGCGCCAGTTTCTCAATCTTCTTACGGAACGTGGCACTGAACAAGAGAGCTGAGAGGAAAACAGGGGGTGAACTCCTGGGAAAGGAACTTTCAGAATTGGGAAAACACTGCACAGCTGTTGGGAATGAGGCCCTGGAGTCCTGTGATGACCTGAAGCTATGGTGTGTTTTGGGGGTTCTAATGGAAATCCTCAGTCACTGTCAGAACACCTCGAAGTGCAAACACTTTCCATGGGATCTGAAATGCTGATGGTTTGTGGCTCTGCTGTGAACCTTCTCTCAGGGCAGAACAGAGTCTCAGAGCATATGGACATGCAGTGAGCTGATCAGCTCTCCTCTGTGGAGGGATCCCAGAGGGATGAGTAGCACAATGCCCACGTGCCACAACTGCTCCCTCCCAAGAGCCCATGCTGGGAACACCACCTGGGCAATTCTGCAAGTCTCCTCGTGTGTTTGTGTCCAGAACAGGAAATCCAAGCTCTACTGTTCTGGATTCTTAACTGCTTGCCCCCCCCCAGAGCCTCCTTGGAGTCTGTTCTGAGATGTGTTTATACTCACTCTGTCTGTCAGGACGTACGTGGCTTGCGATTGATCTGACCTGATACTCTGCAAAGGAGAAGAAAAATTGCTCGAATCAACTTTGTATGCTCATTATTTAGGAGAAGAACTCAAAAATGCAATTTCATCGCTTTGTTGAACTGATAACCACACAGGGAAGAAGTGTCTCTCACTCAGTATCCAACCTTAGAACCCCACTGAGCTGGGACTGGACACTACTGCTCACCGAAACAGTGACCTCTGCTCAACACCTACCAAAACCCATGTCAAACATCCTGTCAGCTTCATCAAACACCAGGTAAGTGACTCTCTGAAGGTTTGTAGCTTTCTTTTTCACATGATCAATCAAACGACCCTGGTTTAAAAAAAAAAAAAAAAGCCAAGTTTTTAAGGTATGTTTAAAACACTGTTGACATATACAACCTTCAAGCACTGAGTTGCTTTTTATCCTCACTGACCAGAGCCTCAGAACAGAAAATATCTCAAGTTTCAATATTCTAGCCATAGAAATAGATTCCGAAAAGTCTCCACCTGAATTTCAGGAGTTTTTTTCCAGCTTAACAGTGCTGAAATCTCAAAATTCTCCATTTTAATTGAATTTAAAATGTGCAGTGCCTACTCAACCCCACAAGTTTTGGCAAGGGAGGTCCTCATACTTCGTTTTCTTGCCTGGTACCAATAAACAGCCACAATAGAACTTCCTCCAACCATTTGTTGCTCAGTTTTGCCCCAGATCCTAACTAGAAAGCCAATGGCCACTGGTGCTTGTTTCAACCCCTGGTTCAGCACCAACATCCATTCTGATTGTGTTTCAACCCCTTCAGTGCTCCTGCCACGAGCTCTGCACTGATTCAGGAAGATGACACTGAAGTTTATGACATTCTGGGAATCTCTTCCAACCTGGTTGATTCTATTCTACGATTCTATGCACTCAGATCTCAGCAGCCAGAGAACAAATTCTGCATGACAGTGGTATTACAAATCTGTCTCAGCTTCAGGTAAGCAGCAAAAATCTGTCATGTGCGCAGAGAGGTACTTACTGGTGTGCAGACAACTATCTCTGCCCCCTCCTGCAGGGCCTTGGCTTGCTCCCACATGCTCCCTCCTCCGTACACGGCCACCGAGCGCAGGTTATAGGCCTTACCAAAGCGTTTGCACTCCGAATGGATCTGGGAATTTGGAGCAAACACATCACAATTCATGTTAGACAACTCTGAGGAAACCATCCTACCTTGGAAATAACAGCCCAGCTCCTGAAATCCACTCTTCAGCTAAGAACCTCAGGAAACTGCTCAGAAATCCTCAGTGCTGAACACTTCAGTACTAGTGGAGAAGTTGTAGTGATCTGAGTCACTTGTTTAAGCATCCAGTCAGGATTGAACCTTCAGGCTCTTATCCTTTCACACATCCCATTTGTGGCAAAGCATCCACAGCATTTTTACACTGCACATGGGAGCACTTTGCAAAAATGTCAAACTTTCAGCTTTGCCATGATCCTTCGAGAAAAAGAGGGCAGGGAAGAGCTGCAGACACACTACTCATGCACACAGGAGCTCTTTCAGACACTTTACTGAGGTTCTCTGATCTTTCTGCCCAGAATTTTGTCTCCTTCTCCCAGAGCACTGCATGGCACATAAAGGAGTGCTGCACACTCACCTGCTGGCAAAGCTCTCTCGTGGGGCAGACAATCACTGCAATGGGACCATCCCCTGGCTCCAGCTCCTTCTGATCCATGATGTGAATCAGCATTGGCCAGATGAAAGCTGCTGTTTTCCCACTTCCAGTCTTAGCTATCCCAATCATATCTCTGCCACTCAGTGCAACTGGAACACCCTAAAAATAAGGAGATTCTAAACCCACATTATGCCAACCATAGCATGTCTTTGTGCTGGATGTTACATGAAAATTCAGAGAATGACAGCAAAGCACATTACAGAGCACTCACAGCAACAATATCTCAGTGCTTACACAATCTGTTTGCCAAGTTCAGTTCTGAACCAGTGTTAGGGCTGGAAGCCATGGCAATGCTCTGACTGTTGGTGTCCTGTGGGAGATCAGTGTTGGGGCACAGGACACCACCCCATGGGTGTGTTTACATGTACACAAATGCATCTTGTGCAGCTCTAGGAACACTGAAAATTCCCTGAACCATTCTGAGTGCTGAAGGCCTCAGTTCCTCCCCACTGCTGCTATAAGGACCTCTCAACCACAGCTCCTAATATCCCTTGGACACAGCTTCACATCCTTCTTTATACTTCAAGAAAAGTGTTGTGGTTATAATCAGATTATTGATAACCTTAATTACTTCTGGCAATCAATCCACAAATGCAGTAGAATCCCTTTAGTTTGCACAGCTCTTCAAGGAATAAAGTTCTCAGTGTGTTGCTCTTTAATCAGTTACTACTATGGTTATTTTTCATACAATTTCTTCAAAAAAAACCCCACAAAATCCTCCCAAACCTTTCACGCATTTCTATAAGAGATGTCACTTGAATGTTCTTCAGTCTTCCCCAAGAGACAAAGAGAAGAGCAACAAAATACTTACAGTGATCATTTAATAAGGACAAAAGTGGATAAACTTCTGTCTTAAAAATACCAAAGCTATTTACCTAGAAAATACAAATTGTCTGTGACAGCTCTTTATAGACAACTGGACCTTTATCTCTCACACTCTCATATGGATGAAGTAGCTTTGCATGGGCTTGATTAGTTCTCTTTAGGTATCAGAGCAGTGACAACACTCACCTGACACTGGATTGGAGTGGGTTGGGTATACTCTGACTTCCTAATTTGATGCATAAGTTGTTCATCAAACCCAAAATGAGCAAAACTACTGCCAGGTCTTGGAGGAGCAGCACCAGACACCTTGGAGACAGAAATAAACCTTTGTTCATGAACAGTGAGAGAAAAACAGAGAGCAATCTGTACAAAAAGAAAAGAAAAGGGTCTCTCTGCCCTCTTTGTATGATTATCTTATTCTCCAAATAATTCCCTTCACAGTCACCACACTAACACATCACAAATGGCAAATAAGTCAGTTTTGCATGTAACATTTCCAGCTGTAATTCCTAGCCCTGGAGTCAAGTGCACCCAAGCAACTGGCACTCCTCAGTGCCCACAGCAACGAACCCAGAGAAGACTTCCAAGAGCTGCTAAGGAAAATCAACCTCCCTTAAATCCAAGTCACTGAAGGGGACTGGGAGGCTTGGATTGAAAAGCTGAAGTTCCCTATAAAAGTCCTTAATAAAACTCAGATAATCCCAAAAACAAAAGGGAGTAAAAAGATGGCAGGAGGAAGTTTTGTGCCCAGCTTACCCGGAGATTGAGCTTATGCCGTAACTCCACCACTTGCTGTGGGGTGAGGCTGGTGATCTCCTCGTGCTCATCGTAGAAATTTTTCTCAAATGGTGGATATTCAATCTGCAAGGTAATTGCTCAGTTAGTCCAACTCAAGACTCCTTTTCCCCCCCCCCTAAGTTCTTATCTGCAAAAACATTTGCTTATTATGAAGCCACTTCAAGGACCTTTAACATGATTTACCTAACACAGCACTAAAACATTACAGGGATTTCTCAGCTCTTGCTCAAACAGAACAGAGGGGGATGAACTCCTTTCCTACCTCTGAGTGGTCAATAGGTGGAAGAGGATCAATGATTTTTTTGGAGGGTGCAATTGGATTCCCATCACTGTCATACTCCAGGTTATCCTCCTCCTCCTCCTGGACCACCCCAGCAGTTGGATTCTCAGCCATGTAGCGAAAATAGGCTTCCTGCAGCAAAACAGAGCAGTAAAATCACATACCACAGCATGCAAAACCCCTGCTGCTTCTTTTAAAGTGATGTATATGCTAAGTGGCTGTTTGCTTTCACACCCACCACTGAGGAAAAAGTTAAGCACATCCACTAGAACTGATTCTCCTAACAAGCACCAGAGACATGTCCAGAAGGGCAATAAGTACAGATGAAGAAAACAACTCTAGTGTCAGCTAGGCCATAAATTCTTCTAGAAAACAAACTTCTCTCACAGCTCCTTCTGCCAAAACTTGTTATGTTTAACCACAGAGTTCAACAGCAGCAAAAAGGATTTGGCCTTGCTCTGGACACTCCTGAGCAAAGCACAAATGCTGCAGGTTTGTAGCCAGAGAAGACGATGGTACTCAGCACAGGATGTTCACCTTTCTGTTAACACACTGTGCCAAAGGTAGTTTCTTCACTTCCCCTAATGAGACTCCAAGAAATGAAAATATATCTATTTTCCATTAGGAGAGTCAACAGCAAATGGGAAACAAACTATCCCAGGAGAGTCCTTCAACTCAAGCCCAAGTCAGAAGTCACTGCTGTCACATCCCATCCTCACAGCTCACAGAGGTGTTTGTGTCTCTCAGAATCTCCCTGGCACACCAAGACTTTTTCAGGAAGAAAACACCATTCTCACTTGAAGCAAACACTTAAGACCAAATATATATATACATATATATAT